TACTTTGCACCTCAGGAATTATTCACTACTTGTCCAGTTATGACTAAGCCTGCTCTAGCTTTTGCACTAGATTATTACCTGCCATCCTTTATTACTAACACCAGTCCAGAGGCAGGTAGCATAGCCTGTTCCAAGTGAAAAATATTTCTCCAGTTGTTCTCTTGGAAAGCATTCCTAGAAAGGGGGCTCAGGTAACTGATTCCTGATTACACAGTTTGAGCAGCAGCACCTGCCCTGCCTGAGGGGTGTGCTTCCACCTAGACATAAATAGCCTGCTCATCAGCTTATGCAGGGGCATTAGAGTTGAACTTGCTGTGAGAACACATTCCTATGTGACCCAGATATCCCAAGTGAAAACAAGTAGTGGTTGGACTACTGGTGATGCTAAAGGGTAGAGGAATGTCCATTACTGCTTTTAAAACATGTTACAGAGCAGACTGTTTCTATTACATATCTTCTTCAAGATACTAAAGCATTTTAGCAGTCCAGGGAAAAATTCTTTCCACCGTTTCATCAGAACTCAAATACTATGAAAACTTCCTAGATAACATTTCCACAAAGTAAAAATACTTGAAAATACTCTAGATTTCTTGCCTAATAACCAGTTTGAAGACAACTCAAGAGCAGTCTCTTATTATAATAATGAAAGAGCTAAGTAACCCTCACTTAGGTAATTTAACCCCTAGAACTGTTCTCTGAATCATTCAGAGCAACTCCAGTAGATCAGCACAAACTGACATGGCTTTTGCCTTTAGATTGAAGAACGCTTTGTTGACAAGCAGCACGCACATGCTTGACCTCTTTCATACATCCTTTATCCCAGAAATCAAGACTATTAACTTGTTTCTCAGATTTCTAGTCAGGTGACTTACACTGCTCTTCAGTGAAGCATGTTTGGTTCAAGACTCATTACCAACTCGTCTTGTTCTAGGCAGTACCTAAACTCACTCAGGACAAAGTCAACTAACAGAGATGATGAAATTTCTCACCTCTGACCCAAATTGACCAGTATATTCTAAAAGCATACTGGTCCTGGGAAGGACACTCTAATCAAGAACAACATTTTACAGCAGTTGTAGCAACATGCCCAAAAAAGAAGGCATCCATGACCTGCAAGAGCCTGCAATAGGTTGCAACTGAAAGTCTTTCTCTCTGTATAGAAGAGACCTTGGTATTAGAATGGTTCCTTGTAAAAACACATCTGAGCAGAGGGGTTTTTCCACAGCTGGTCTGGAACTGCTCAATTGTTTGGACAACAGATCTATTTTAGGACACTTGTATATTAGACAGGAGTTGCCTATAGCTAAAGTTCCTCCTTGCCCACCCAACAGACTATGTTATTCACTGAATTACTCAGGTCAAATCCCACATTTTTTTTCTATTTGTGGTTCAAATGGACAACTTAGAAGTAAAAGACATTAGGCAAAAAACTCTCACATTTAGTAATACCCACAATCCTTCCTCCCCCTTTACTCTTATCTGTCACAGTAGGAAAAACAAACAAGGAAACTGATGAGAACAATTGCAAGGGAAATATCTCTCAAAAATGCTTCATGATGTGAGACCCTTTGCGGTACAAATCTCATCCTGTTCTTAAAAACATACAATGGTACAAATACTTCTGGGCAGTCCCGTCCTTGTAAATGTCAAGTCTCACTGGAAACACTGATAAATGCTGCAGTTTTAAGAAGGAAGTATGAAAAATTAACATGGCAAATCAAGTTATAGAATCAATTATTTGCAAAATTTTTCACAGAATTGCAACAGAAGTGAAACTGTCTTAAAAATAGGACAGGGAAAGCAGAGGTTGATGCAATCTTTATTCATCAGCACTTGTTTTTACAGAAAAATTTAAGAAAGAAAAGTGTTGATACAGAATGGCTCTATTAAACCAGACTGTTAGCAGATACACAGGTGAACCCACTAGTAAGTAACACAAAATGGCTAGGCTTGATGGACATTTAAAATTCAGTAACAATTTATTCAGAGCATGTGATTTACATTATATTTCTGTAGTGTCAACATTTAAAAAACCCAGACACCAATGTTTTAAAAGAGTTAAGAAAGCAGCAAGTAGTAAGGCAAACATGGAGAAAAGCAGCCTGACAGAACCATGTAAAACTACAGCAACAAGGTATAAACCAATTTTGTTTAGAAACAATTGATATAAAATAATTTTAAGTAAATGTAATTTACAATCAGTTTTACAGGTAAGGAATCAAGCTGTTAAATGCTTAACCCGTTAAACACTTTAGTGCAGCAAGAGAACTACTAACATTTGAGAAAGCTTACACAGAAAACACCTGTGCCCAGCATTCCTAACTTTTCATGGCACAACGGCTGTACTACTCAACTGACTGGCCTGTTAGATACTAACCACCAAGCTTGCTGGCTTCCAAAAGAAGCAAAATAAAGACTGCCAGGTAATGTCACTTTAATGCTAATTTGACTTGTAAAGCATTGGAAGTTTAACTGAAAAATTGTGAAGGCTTTTATGACATGTCCAGGAACAGCCTTCTCCAATATTGCTAGCAGCATTCTTCACAATTTTTACTTACTACTGTCAGGATATAGGGGGTCAGTAATAGTTTAAATTCCATTTCTGAACAAGCAGACAGGAATGTAACCACATCTAAGGAAACCCTGAGCAATTTTTTCATCCCTGTTTTATCTTTTTCAGACAGCTTCCTGCTGTTTTATGCAAGACAAGAATCAAGGTGTTCATTTATTTTAGATTCTAAAACTTCAGTCTGGCAGACAGGGCAACTGACATTTCTATCCTGCCTTGCAGGATTGCTAGAACTTGCAGAGGACTGTGTAGATTCAGCTTTGGTATTGATAGGTGTGTTTATACTTAAAGTGACATCAGCACTCCTTTTTTTAATGAAATACCTTTCAAAGGCAGTTTTGTCTTCCATTTTTGGCCATTGCTGCAGTGTATTAACACATTCTAAGCTTTTTTTCTCAGATGCAACCTGAGCTGTTGTCGGCTGCTCCAAACAAATTTGTTTTGCTGGCCAGTAAGAAGATGGCATAGCTGTCTTGTCATTTGCAGAGCCTTGCTTTGATTTTTCTTCTGTAGCACGACCCATTCTAGCAGAAAATCCATGATCATTCTCATAAGCTTCTCTATTACTATCAGAGAGTTTAGGAAACTCACGCTTTAAAGCTAAGTTGATCTTCTTGCTGGCAGCATCAGTATAAAGTGGAAAGATCCCATCACGGGGCAGTTTTTCAAATTTTATCTCATTTTTAGGGATTGGTATTGTCCTTACTGCTGAATGATGCTGTGAACCATATGCTTCATTGTTTCCAAAGCCACTGCTGTAATTAGTGTTCTTTTCTGAAAGCACACCATCGGCTCCTCCAAGCCGATACCCTGTTCCACTGAAAGGCAGCACACCTTGTGTACCATGTGTTTGTGTCTTGCCTGCAAAATCGGATTGAAAAAAAATAAGTTAGTAACTTTTTCGTACAAAAATCATGAGCTTACTATTAGTCGTGGACTTAGTATTAGATGTGCTTCACACAACAAATCTGCTGCTTGAAAATAGTGCATCAAACTAAACATTTTGCAGATGATTCAGTTGAGAAGGAGGTGGTTAGAAATGCACCAATAAAATGGACACTGTTCTTTGAATAACATATAAACAAAGCTTATGTGGTGGTTGGTCTATATTTCTTCAAGAAAATGTTTGGACAAAATTGGTTTGGAAAAGAAAAAAATTATTACAATACCTTTGTTAGTTGATTTGAAATGTGGAAGCTTTGCTGGCTGAGCTTTCTGCTTGGATTTCTTTGTGACTTTGTCTGGCTCCTTCACTTTGGTGAATGTGCCCCCACAGGTCTTTTGATGGTCATCCCACCAAAAGTCTTGTGCAGAGGGTGCTCTGTTCATCGAGCGTTTCACATATCCAAAGTAAGGTCCTCTGTTTTGACAGGGGCCATTGCACCGCCACCAGTGCTGGCGATACAAATCAATCTCATCGTAAAAAGTATGATAAATCTAAGTTTAAAAAAAAAAAAAGCCAGTCATTCAGAAAGTTTTTGATTTTATATAATTAGCTTTACAGTGCTTTATAAAAATCTATTTCCATTCAATTCCTTGCGTTACTGTTGTGATTTTCACATTACCAGTTAAAAGAGCTGGACCTGGGTAAAACTGGACCAACACTTAGCTACTAATAAAACAAAGCTTGGAAAAAAAGGAAAAGACAAGATGTATAGGAATATGTCCTGGCTATCTTGTTTGAACTGCAATAAAAAAAAAAAATCACTCTGGAAATCTATCTACAGTTTCACCCTAAATGCTTAACTGTTTTGCAAACAATACCAGTATTGTTCTCTCCCTTCAGCTATTACCTTGATTGATCTTATCAGACACATTATTTTTGAATACCATCAACATAAATATCATTAGCCTCTTGTGATATAAATCTTAACAAAACTAAGACAGCTCTTCCCCAGATACTACTCTTAACATGGAGCTGTTCTGTCCCTGCTGTCATTAAGGTGTTTCAAGTTTAACACAAAAACTTAAAGAAAAATACTTACAGAGAGTAGACTTGAAAATTGTATAACTAGCAACTCACATCCTCCTCAATCTGTTCCCACCATTGCCCCCAACAAAATAACTATAAAACTGGCATACACTTGGATGCAAATTTGGATCAGTACCAACCGTGGAGTGTCTAACAGGAACAAGTATAGTACTCATACCAAACTAGGCAAGTAAAAAACCAAATCAGGAAGAAAGCTCTATTAAATTAGGTTAAGAGGATTATGCTTACTGTGACATTGGCTCCAGTCAAGAGATTAATGCGACGCATGTGTTTGCAGAACTCTGGTCCATGAGACTGACGATCTTTGTAGTTATGAGTAACAAAGAGCAGGGCATGGATCATTTCATGCAACAGCGTCTGAAATGATGCCAGTCATTAGATATTTACTGAAAAGCATTACATATAGTTTCAAAATTAAGCTGTAAGTATTTTACTCCTCTACAGCGATCGTGGTACCAATCTTACTTTCAAGCATTCACATGTTCAGTCTGTGTCATAAGAACATAATACTTTGATCTATTAAACCAAAATTCCCATAGCACCAAAACGTGCTGGAGAATATTACCACAATAAATGGAATATTACTACAATAAGTGACATTCCAAAAAGAAATAATCCTCAAACTTCAGGCACATCTTAAAAGAGATCATCGCCTCTACAACCCAAAAAGAGAGCCACTTGTGAGAAAGTCGAAACTACAGCATTTCTGCTCATCAGACAAATCTCAATGTTCAGATGCACAAGAAGCAACACAAAGTCATGTTAACAGTGATAACCTCATTTTCTGCTGTTGGCCCTTCTGAAACTACAGTTCATGTTTGTTTTGAATATTAAAGGATAATTTAGGAGTTAACAACTTGGGGTGCTTTTTCTTTCCAAAGTCAGTAAAATAAACAAGTGACTCCTACTTGGAGTTGCCCACTTAGAAACATAAAGCTAAAGGTTACTAAGATATTGCAACACAAGCCACACAAACATAACAGTAAAGCCTTCACTTTATAAAGTTACTTGTATACAGTAACTTTACAATCTGTCAGTTACTGTATGCAAGAATCCCACTATGAAATGTAAAACATTCATATGGAGCAGAGTAGTGGAAGTTACAATGCATTTTATGTGCAGATTCATGAGCAATCTTCAAATACCTCAACAAGATCCTTCCTGGGTCTTAACTTCAGAAGTGGCTCACTTAGACGAATGGAACACAATCCACTATTTTCGTGATATGAACAGATTCCAGCAGAGCTGAAAAGAGATGCAGAAAGAAAAGAGGAGAATCTACTTGTTTCTGTAGGACATGAAGAAAATGGAGAATTAAAGTTAACATGCCATCCCTTTCAAACATATGTTAGGTCACTTAGAATATGTAAAAAATTGCTTTTAGTAGTTACTCGAAAAACTCAGCATCATTAAGCAAGGAAAAAAACCAAAAACCCACAAGCTCCTTAGAGTAGAAAAACCTGTTTAGAAGGTAGAGGCCTATTTCCTTTAGAACTCATCACGGAGTTAAATACACCAAACAGAGGCTGGAAATTCAGAGCAGAAAGCATGGACTGAACTGCTGGTTGCTTCAATTTCACCCACTCCTCACCCTCCCTCAACTTTTGATTCTTATTGAGCCTTCATAGATGAAAACACTTTTTTTTTGTGTTAATGAGTTAGTCCTCCACTGGTTCAATACCCAATTATTTTAAAGTGTACAGAGAATACTCCAACCAGCAGAGGAGAAGAGGGGGCAGGACTCCAGTCACCAGCAACCCCATCTGCTGCAGAACTGCAGCCTGCACTTCAAAGCTTTCTGGTTTTGTTTAAACTCAGATTTCCTGTATATTCCTCTCCCTAGTCTACTCTAAGTTTTGCTAATACACTATTATTGGTTCATATCTACCTTTCTGTAAAACTATCATAAAACTGAGAGCAGGAAACACTAGGTTTCGTGAGGTTTACACACACACGGTGCAAGACCAAGTCATATCTTCCACTTTAACATCTCTTCAGGCTTGTCTGCACCCCGGGAAAAGTTGCCAGGGAAGACAGGTGAAAGAAACCAGACAATGACCGCGACCAACCCACGTCCTGCTGTACCAGCAGTGCCAGGGAAGTGAGACATGCAAGTATCTGGGAAGAGAAGCCGCGGCACTAGCCCCGCAAGGAGCAGCCAGCGGTGAGAAAGGACGGCCCTTCCCCGCTCCCCAGAGCTCACGGCAGACGAGACAGCCGCGGTCACATCCCCCAGCCCGGGGCACGCAGCTCCCGAAACCCAACGCCGGCGGTCGCTGCCAGGCAGCACCGCTCGGCAAGGACAGGACCGCGCCCCATCACCCCATCGC